TATATATATATACAACTTTACCTAATTATTAACATATATTTAGTAAAATCAATTGCAAATTTCATCTATGTCACTCTTTAATCTTTACCGACTTATATTTCCTTGAAGGACAAAACAAAAGGCTAAGCAGTTATCACCGGTTGTTCCATCAACTATTTGTATCTCTCATTTTCTCAGTCTCACTCAATGGCTCAAAGGAAAAGGAAAGAAGATGGAACAACTTGTGATAACGGCTTACTTTTGTTTTGTCCTTCAAGAAGACAGTTGTAAAGAAATTAAAAGACATAACTACATCTATAGTGAAGGACTTTTTTATTTGTTTTCAAATGAACTTTATAAGCATAGATTTATTATTCTCTTAAAAAAGGTGAATAGATTCACTTTAGTTTTGTGAAATTTATAAGCATCATCCTGCTAATTTATTATTCTCTTAAAAAAAATTATTCTTATGACTTTTTTAAAATTAATCGATGTCATTGCTCATTGCAGATGATATCTCTTGGAATTTTTGAGATGACAGTATATTTAATTATTCATTGTCTATAATTTTACTAAATACCAGAAAAATATGTAGGTGTGATGGAAACAATGTTCTCTTTTAGTAATCTGTTTTTACTTTTTTTTATAGTAATGAATTTGCAATTGATTTTACTAAATATATGTTAATAATTTGTTTTTCAAGTTCACTTTTTAGTAAACAGTTTACACATTTTTACTAGAAATATGAGCTTTTTAAGGCAATTGATGTAAATGGAGATAGGGTTGTTAGCCAGGATGAATTGGCCACACTTCTTGTTGTTCAATAACAGAAGAATGTTCTTATTATACGTTTTACTTTCATCTGTTAGTTATACTTTTTAATAAATTGATTTTAGAATTTTGCACATGAAAAATTGAAAATGATGTTTTAAATTCTTTTTATATTGTAGGGAACCGCTTATAAATTCTTTCCTTGTTTGTGGGGAGACTTTTGAAATTGAGATAAGTTGAAATCAAAGATTCATGTCACTCTGTTTGATAAAAGACACTAGAAACCATAATATGACTAGAGGATTCTTGACGGATAAACAGGTGTCCTGTGGGTGAGATTCTTTCTACTTGTGATTCTTTTTTTTTTTCATTTATAAAATGTTGTTTTATTATGACAATTAATTCCGACATGATTCTGTTTGGTTGGATGAAATGGTAATATGGAATTGCCAAGGTAATAGAATAAGTCATACATTCCATGGTTATGTTTGGTTGGCATTCCTATTAGTTCTGTTAATCAAGAGTTTGATGATGGCTTTAAGCTGCAAAAACACCCATGTTTCAAGCTTCAACTTTGGGTAATCAAAGGTATGTTTGTTTTGTTCAGATTCTTTTTTCCAAAATTCACGCTATAGATTCTTTAAATGAACAATTTGTTTTTTTTTTAGTTTTGTTTTTCAAGATTCAAGCTATTGTGTTAAACTATGTGATTTCGGTTAATTTATATGTATTTTTGTAAGTTTTAACCTAATTTTTTTAAAGCTTCTCTAATTTGTATCAATGACTATTGAGGTTCAAAAGGTTTTTTTTATTTATTTAATGGATGCATGCTTTTTCTTTTTAATATCTTTTTGATTATTGTGATGTTATCTAACCAGATACACATTGGATTGGGTTAAACATTGAATAAATACTATATTTTGTTTGTTTTTATGTACATCTACATATGCATGGGGTGGGCTTATGGAGGTACTAATTTTGGTTTGATCGGGTCAAACTTTATAAGAACCATCGGGATTCCACTTGAGTTTCATGATCATTTAGCAAAGAAAAGAGAGATGGTATGGGATGATCAAGAAAAGGTTTTATCATAGTATCAAAATCTAAATGTCAATACTGGATTCTGAAGCTTCTAAAGATGGGGTATTAGGGGCAGATGACAATGGGAGGGCATGAAAGCAAGCCAACAAGCTTACTTTAATGTGTTAATGAAGTTAGGTGCCACTTATTACTCCTTCACGTATATGCTTTAATTTTACATGTTAATTTATTGATTTATAAGCTTGATAAAGTTTTGGTGGTTCTGAGTTTGATTAGGACATTAGGTACAAAGCATGAGTGGGAGTTAGTACAAAGTGAAATGGAAGCTGCTTCAAATGGTTTACTTATGGAAATAAATAAATTGCATGTTGGTTCTGCTAAAGCAAAGTGTGTGTATGGTATGTGCTTATTGCATATGAAATTTCATTACTTTCCTACAAGCCAACCAAACTTGATTATGGAATGTAATAACTCAATCCATTACCTTTCTTATTCCATTCTATCCAACCAACCAGACTCTTTTACTTACAAATGCTATGATGACTTCGTTATTGTTACCATTAAGCGATTTATAGGAGACTTTTGTTGTTATGAGAAACTATGCTTATAAAACAAAGGATTTCAACAAAATACAGAAACCACATACTGTTTTTTAATTTTTTATGGTTATTTGCTAAATTAGAAAGTATCTTGCTATTTCTTGTAATGTACTTTCTGTTTCTAAAATTATCTCTAAAAATAATTAAAGCACAATGCTACAATTGCATATATCTTGGAAATAGCCACCCGATTATAGCATTGTACTTTCAACACAAGTTTTAATAACAAAAAGAAAATTAAAAATACAAATTTTAAAAAGTTAAAATAAAATTATTTCATTTTAGTTTTATAGTAAAATTGTTTAATAAGAAAAAAGTTAAGTAATATAAAAAACAGAAGTAAGAAATGAAAATGTGAGTAAGATACCATATTAGACAAACAAACAAAACTATGTTGTTATTTCCTGCATTTAGCTCAATCAATGGGTAAATGCAAGAAATACCAATGTAATTATTATGTTTGTCTAACTAATATAGCATCTCATATTCATTTTATTGACTTACTTTTTTTTTCTTATTTAAACATTGTACTTAGAAACTACAGCGTTATATTTTTTTGTGTATTGGATATGTGCGAGATTGGTTGTGTGTATGACATTGTATGGCGGTATTTGATGTTGGCTAGCATTGTACATTGCGTCCTCTGGTGGACATCTCAACATGGATCGTATGTTTTTTCGAATCAAGTAATCAAGTTGGCTTCTAACTCGAATACTCCAAATCCAAAAGGAAAGATGAATTCTAACTTAGCCCCTAGGTAGCTGTTAAAAAGTCTATGATTTTGCTGTGTTTTGGAGTAGTACACAACTACTTTAGATCTTCTTTAAGCCCCGTACAAATTACATCTTTATGTTGCCTTTTTTAGTTCCCTCTATCATATTTAATTGTATCGTTTATGTACTGTAACTTTCCCATCTCCCCGAGCTTGTTTTCTCTTTTAGTTATATAATTCTGCCGTTAAAAAATGGCTCCATGATTTCTTTAACAAATTTGACTTGTACTCTTTGTCTCTATGAGAACTATCAACCCGTGAATTTAAACATTTTTTTCTTGCTCATCTCGGTAATCAAAGGGTAAGAAAATGCTTTGGTTGTAGGTTTGACCAAAGATTTAAATGTTTGAATGTTGGTGTTGGCCTGGTTAAAGAGATGTGTTATATAAGTTAAGTACCATTTATGCATTTTTTTAAAAACACAATCCATTTTTGTTAATATTTTTAACATGGACCATTTGTGTATTTTTTTAAACAATAATATTTTCTGTTAGTTTTTTTTTTCTTTTTTTTTTTCAAAAAAATAGGAGCCATTTGTGCATTTTTAGATAGGGAGCATATATGTTAATTTTGTTCAAACAGTGGCTATTTGTACATCCATCACAAAAAAAAATTAAAAAAAAATAAAATACAAGGATCATTTATACATTTCTTTTTAAGGGGGGACCATGACATGACGGTAATTATTTACGCGTTATTACAAGCTTATTTATTTTATTTTTTAAAATAACACAATTGCAAGTCTTTTTACAATAAAAATAATCCAAATTATTACTAAAGTTGTAAGAATTGTTTATTTTTCAACTTTTTCCCTTTGAAACTTCAAAACTCACTGTAACAACAAATAAACTAAAAAAATGATAACAAATTACAACATATTTGCGTAGACTCATCTTCAGTCATGGTTAGTAATACGTTGTTTTTTCTTACGTCATAAGTAAAAAATGTTTGAATTTACTTATACGTGACGATGCAGGTTGTCTAACTAGTAAAACAAAAAATATTGTTTACAAAAAAGTTTTTCAAAGATTATAGATATTCAAACATGTATTGTATTTTTTTAGATATTTTAATAATACCAATAACTCTAAGTTTTCTATTATTTTATCTTATTATTATTATTATTATTATTATATCGACATTTTTATATGACTGTATCAGCATTTTATATATTTATATGTATTTTTTATACATTCGCTGTGTTTTATACGGATCATAATCTATTTATTCTTTAAACCAATCATGTCTTGAACTATTTTAGGAAAATTAATTAGAGGTTTTGAAATTACAATCCAATATATTTTAGAGAATCATAAAAGTTTCTTAATAACCTATGTACCAAACATATATGTAACTTTATTGAAATTTAATGATATTCTATTTAACTTGCTTCTAAACTAGTTTTAATTCCATGGGTCTATTATTAGAAGATTTAAACCTTTAACCTACTGCTAATAATGATATTCTACTAGGATTTCAAAATTTGTTGAAGTTCTTCGACTCAGTTTCTAAAGAAGTTTAGAATACTAATGGTCTTGTATTTCTATAGGGTCAATAGAAACTTTTATATAATCTTATCAAACTATTCATTTATTCCAATAAAACTTGAAGAAAGAGAGAAAATGAATATAAAAACTACTTTTTATTAATTTATAAACTCACTTCTTACATTAATTATATATAACTTAAGGGAAAATGTCTAAGCTTAGCTATTAAACCAACTCAATTACTCTTTCTACTTTTTTTTTTCCTTATCGGTTTCGGATTAAAACCAAGTGTAAAATACTACAAGTAATTAAACCTAGCTACACATTCTGTTTATAGGGTTTTATTACGTACTATCGGAACCTGCGGCTTGCTCCGGATACCATAATCGGTGGTGCAATGGGCTGCATGTCTTGACCAATAACCTCACACTCGGGCAAAGAAGTCGGGTATCTATCCGTATCATAGCAATACGAGTATGTCATATACTGCGCCCTATACTCATGCATTCTTCTTCTTTCGTTCTCGGAAATACCATCAGGAGTCATATCATAGCGTCTGCACTCAGTTTGCAAAGACTGGGAAGCGTCAATCTGACACCCATCTATGTTGAACTTGGTGTAACCCGTAACAAACGGGCCTTGCTGGAAATCAACTCTATACTCACCTTTGTGGGTAGCCCAGTCCGACCCATCCCAAATTGTGCCATACATATACATCGGCTTAGATGGAAAATCACCACCCATTCCTTCAACATTCGGCACCTCCCTGATCGCTAAATCATCCACAAAAAAAACAACCCAATCTGTATTCCATAGAATACCATAATCGTGAAAATCTGTAGAAGGATCAAAGGGCAACGTGTATCTTTCTTCTCTGCCTCTATGGATGCTTCCGTTGCCATAAAGATTGGTCTGAAGAACCCATTCTTCTCCTGCGATATGACCAAGAAACTCAAAGTCAATCTCATCTCGGTAGTAATCACTGTTTTGAGCATAGAAAGTAACAACGACACCGGCACTATAGTTGTTGTCTGGTAGCTTGATGGAGGCAGTGAACATGCCATGATTGTATGCATATCGTGAAACAAAACCCGACCCTGAAGTCGACCACTGATTCATGGAGATTTGGACGGATTTACCATCGTCGGATGGTTTGACGTTTTTGTATCCAAAGAGTGGGGAGAAAGATTCGATGAAGGAGATGGTGGAAGGATTGAGTGAGAAAGAAGGTATTATAAAGATGGTGATGACGCAAAGAATAACAAGTGGTAGATAAGTAGAGAACAACATATTGATTATTTCAGCGTTAGAAAAGATTTTGTGGGTATATATAGATGCATATATAGAGCAGATAGTGCGTACATTCATGTATATATATATTAATATATACATACACATTAATGATGTATAGTATAGGATTAGAAGAGTAAGTCAGACAAGACAAGAAACATATTTAATAAGAATATGAACTGCAACAAAATACTTTCAAATATACATACATTGGTTTCATTCCAACTACCAGTCATTTACTTTCATATATCACATGAAATGGATCAATTCGTTTTTAATATTCATCTAAAACTTTTCTGAAAATTTCTAAATTATCATTCCCGTATGATGATCTTCATGAGCTAAGGCAAATTACAAATAAAGCAAAACATTTTGCATAAATTTCTGTTTTACTTGCCTTAATTCTTAATTAATGTTTAAGGACAAGAAAGTCGATTACCTAAGATAGAATCTAAATTATTCGCCAACTTAAGCCATTATTTGGTAACTTTTTATATTTATTACAAATATATCCCCTCCCCTCCCCCTTTATTATTATATATTATATTATTAGGATATTATGATTATGATGTTATTTTTTACTTAAATAAAAAGTACGTACCATACAGCTACATGGCTTTTCCTCAGCTCATTTTATCAAAGTCAATTACCCAAACTGCCCTTATTAATTAATCTTCCTGAAATAAAACTTCCTATTCTGCCCTTATATTCGGTTTTCCTTCCGCTTTTGATTCAATATGAACAGGCTGTCAAACTTATAGCTGGTAACTAAAAGTCCGGTCACCATATTTAACTAAAAAAATACCATCCGATAATATCATTAATTGTTGCCTTATTTGGTTCAGATTTTGTTATTATCTATTTCCTGCATGTATTTTTTAAAAAGAAAACTATTAAATATGGAGTATTCAATTATTAATCGAATTTTACATTCGAAAATTAAATATTCCAACTAATCACAGACTTATTTAACGTGATAAACATAACATAAACATAATATCTCCAATTTTGAATTTGAATAGGATTTTAAACGATTTCCTAGGTTAAGATCATGGTATTTCAAACAAATAGTCCATTAGTCCTCACCTTTCTCAATTTTGCCTTCACACGTCCATTCCTTCACAAATCCACCGCAGGAAGAGAAGAAAAAACACATCAAGCTCAATATCACTTTTAATACATGAAAGTAGTGTATGTCTTTTGTCTGTTTAAAAAACCTTTTACTATTGATTGTTATTGTTCTCATCATGGTAAAACCAAAGTAAAATAAATTCTTATGAAATTAATAAGAACAACAATTCAATATAACAAAGTCATATGTGCATTATGATGCAACAAAAAGTCTATTGGTGTTTCATGTTCATAAATTTGACTGTTACATACTAACTTATACATCAACCTACAAGAAATCCCTAAAACATATTCTATGGAACTTTGTCTGTTTTTAAGAAACAGCAACTTGCAAGGAATAGCAACATACTTTTGATTTACTGTTATTTTTGTTCTTTTTTTTTGGGAAAAGTACGTAGTTTGATGTTATTCCATATTTGATTGTGTGAAAGGGCCTATTATTTCGTGATTAAAAGAATAGAATGTACTTTCTTTTCCTTTTTGTTTTTATATAACAACATTTATGCAATTAATTTTTTATTTTATTTTTTATGATTTTAATATCCGGCATCTATATCACATGATCGTTTTTTTAGTATCATGGATTCATATATATTTGTTTATGTTTGATGCAATTTATTGTTATTTTTTTTTTGAAAAACCCAAAGTACAACGCTATTTATAGATTTATCCAATGTTTTGGTTGCAAATGCATCAAAAATCCTGTGTCCTTTAACATTTCTGTAAAAGTAATGTTAATTTATCATTTTCCATGTTGTTCATGCCATAGGGAATATTTTGTAGACAGTTTATCACCAAAAAAACCATTTGTGTAAAAAAATCTGCCATAGGGACCATTTCTATAATAGTTTCATACAGGGACAACTATATAATTGCAATATATAATAGTATCTGTTCTTGATTAATCACAACTGTTATAAATGATTTTATATTATTATCATATTTAATATACAAACAAAGTACATTGCTATATTTGGATTTTAAGTAACTTATAAACATTGTTAATTGTTGTGTTTAGTCACATTTGTTTACCATTTAATTTCAGAATAATGTCTACTACAAAAATTACATACTTCAGACATTGGAGTAGTATCAGAAGATACAACCTTATAAAAATTTCATTACATATGAGTAACTTCTTACATTATTTCTCATTCATATGGTCCAAAAATTTTTTACTTAATCTTTAACTTCAAATTCACAAACAGAGCATAAGTATTGAAACCTAATCCACTTACAAACCTAAACCTAATCACACAATAATCTTTTTTTAATGACACATACATTAAAAATAGAAACTAGCAAGAAGCTAGCACAAATTACAAGTTATAAGCAAAAAATGGAGAAATAGACCAATCCAACCAACAACTGTTTTTTCTAAACATCGATCTATTCTTAAACCAATTAAAAGTAACTGAATTTCATCTGCCACCTTAAGAGATGAACTTCTCCTCTTGTTGAAGACCAAAGCATTGCGAGCTTTCCAAATATCCCACACTACCGAGTATAAAAGTGTGAACAAAACCTGAGCCACTCCAGACTCACTAGTACAAAACTGAGCTTTATCCGCGAAAAACTCCATCATTATAGACATTTTTTGTCGGTTTTTTATCATTCAACATGAGAGTAAATGTCACGTCATTGAAGATAAGTTATGCTTTCTTTCAATTGTGGTGAGTATAACCCATGAAAACCCGTTATTATAGGTCAAAACCGTCAATATATAGTATGGTATTTTTGGAGATATGTCTATCATATTAAGATAGCCGTCATTAATAATACACTTATAGTGATGTGTTTTTTTCCTATAGAGTGGTAAATGTTTATGTATAGTCACCGTTTATAAATATTATCACGACTATTGTTGATTTTTAAAGACACAAATATAATTAAGATGTCAACATAAACTATCTTTACTAACATGTTTAATGGTTTATCATTATAGTTGTTTACATACATCCACAAATAAAAATTCAACCCATCACCAAATAATATCTTATTTTTTTTATTATGATTATTGATAATTTTTATTGACATGTTTAATATTATATAGTGAATATTATGTACATTTACACAGTCATTGGACAATTAAACAGTGACCATAAAATACTTATAGTAATGTGATTTTCTCTATAGAGTGATAAATGTTTACTTATACTCACCATTTATAAATATTATCGCGGTCATTGTTGACTTTTGGAGATAAAAATTGTAACATCTGGAATCCCAGTTATATTATTTAATATTTATTTTTTTATGAATTATGTGAAGGAACTCGGCGAGTGGATGCGTAGACTCGCCGAGTAGGGTCGTGGTTGTTCATCCGGATTCACGTTGGACTCGGCGAGTCCACGCTGTTTAATGAAACCCTAATCCTCCGGGGTTGGAGCCTATTTAAGGGTACTCTTAGCCTCCCATTGCGGCTACCAGTCCCTTGAGAGCACCCTTAGTGATCTATATCGTTTGGGAGGAAGGAGAAGCCATTATTGATCTTTCTATCCTTGGTTTGGCAAAAAGAAGGTGATCAAGAGCAAGAGGAGGCTGAAGGAGGTATGATTCAAGTGGTTTCAGAGTCCAGAGATTCCAACTTGAGGTATTCATTCGGACCTTCTTCAGTTTTGGTATTAAACTTAGAGATTAGGGTTTTCTAACCTCTTTTAAGGATGTTTATGTGGAGCAATTGGTCCCTTATCGAGTCTATGCTTTGGATCTGGACTCAAAGAGGTTCAGAGACTTCAATCCATTAAGCTTTATGGGTCCTTGTGGGATGATTGGACTTAGGTTGCCAGTTTTGGGAGTAAATCACCATTTGATGCCATTATGTATATATATATATATATATATATATATATATATATATATATATAAGCATCAAGTTTCAAGCTTTACGTGATTATATTGCTTGGGAAGGTCAGATCTATGGATTTGAGGAACAGATCTGACCTCAGGAGGTCAATAGAATCTGCGCATGGCATGTACTCGCCGAGTTGTTCTTGGGACTCAGCGAGTTGAGTCAAGGTAGCCCCGCGATTCATGCATGGGGACTCGTCGAGTAAAGGGAGGGACTCAATGTGTTAAATGGGACTAAGGAGTTAAGTGGACACAGGTGGACTCACCGAGTTGCCCAAGTGCACTCGCCGAGTCGGGTCAAAGTTTGACCGTTGACCTTGTTTGACTTTTAGGGTTGGGTCAGCAGCGAGGCCTTAAAGCCAGAAGAGGGGTAAAATGGTCTTTTACCCTTCTGAGGATGTTATATTTATGGGAGTATTTGCCTTATGTGTTTAGTTGGAGGATAGATCGTATTTCTACCGAGTCAATGATTTACCGAGATATCAGAGGTGAGTCTTCTCACTATACTGTACCTGGAAGCGTACCTATGTGTGACTGGAAGGTCGGATATGTGATATGATATATGTATTGGTTACCCGTTTGTATGTGTTATGAATGCTATCATTGTTATGGGCCGGAAGGCATTATGTTATGGGCCGGAAGGCATTATGTGATGTGGACCGGAAGGTCGACACGGGTAGGAACGGAACGTTTACCGAGTTGGGACAGAAGTCCCCTGAGACACATGGACCGGAAGGTTATGGCCTGGAAGGGCGTACGTCTGTAGGTGGTATTTTTGGGGAACTCACTAAGCATTTATGCTTACAGTTGTTGTGTTATGTGTTTCAGGTATGAGCGAGGACCGTGGGAAGGCGCCGACATGATTTGTGCACACTGACGGAAGATTTATTTTGTGATTTTGGGATGTATTTTTATGATGATGACATTTGCTAAACATGAGATTTGAGAATTTTAAATGATGGTTTATGTTGTTGAAAAATAAAAATTTGTTTTGAAAATTCACGTTGTTACAAGTTGGT